ATATGAACATTTATACACCAGTACCCTGGCAAGAGGCTGACTTCATTGGAATACTTTACAGCTTAATACATCTGAATGATTTATAACTCATTTTGTCTGGGCATTTATGCTAATAAATTAACAGGTTCCCCAGTACTGCCTGGTCCTTCGTCTCTTCAGGGAGTCAAGGTGAGAGAAAAATAAAAGAGCATACTACTAATGGAAAGAAGAAATTGCTGTACTGAATTTAGAACCCAAATAAAATTACAACACAAATAAAATCTCTGATTAAAGCTAAACTGAAGAAAAGGCAGGGGAGGGAGAAAAGGAGAGAGAGAGAGACAGACAGAGAGACACAGAGAGCTCTGAGTTCACATGCAGTTCTGCATTTATGCTACTTATCAAAGGGAAATCACAACGTGATGTTTAGATTTAGCAAGCTAGTTTTCTGAGAAATAATTCATTCATCTATAATTAAATCCAACGATGACAGAAAAGTGACAGACTGAGTGTGGCCAGGAGTGAAGGGGGTGAGATGAAACCCTGCCGATAAAAGATAGTATCTTTCATAGGTTAAAAACACAGAAACAAATACTTTGAAAACATTTTCTAAGATGAGGAGATTTTAAGTCTTTTTTAAAAAACAAGTGTAGAATAAGTCGACTTCTTTTCCTTTTCTTCTTCTTCTTCTTCTTCTTCTTCTTCTTCTTCTTCTTTTCTTCTCTTCTTCTTCTTCTTCTTCTTCTTCTTCTTCTTCTTCTTCTTCTTTTTCTTCTTCTTCCTCTTCTTTTCCTTTCTTTTTTCTTCTTCTTTCCATTTCTTCCCCTTGCTTGCAAAGTTGAATCTGGGGTCAGGAGTTCTAATTGTAACCTCAGACTGGAATTCCAGATGGTGCGCTCTGGACTGGAAGCTCCTCTCAGTTCATCAATTTCATGGGCTTCCAGACCTGCGCTGGCCACGGCCTGGTCTCCATCCCCACTGTGGCATTAATGCAGAACAAATTGAGACATATCCTCTATATAATTAGTTCCAGAATTTAAAAAGATTTACGGGATAATAATAGAGGCAGCCCTGCTGAATCCTTTCACTGGGGGCTCTTTGAGAGCTGGGGAACCGGTGGTACGGCGTCAAAACACTGCGGCTCCAGGCACTATGAACCGGAGAAAGGGCAAATTTTGCCTCTCGCACCAGGCAGCGCTAGGTGGTTCTAGCCCCTTAACCAGTCCAAGGAGGAGAATTTAAAGCCCAGATGTGAGATCGGTTTAAAGGGGGGAGGATCGAGACAATTTTCAAATGAAAGAAGCCTAAGGGTGGGCTGTGTCACAGAAGGCCCTCCGATGTTTACATTTTTTCTTTTATTTTGCAAAATGAAGCTTTGGTTTTTGCCAACTCTGTCAGTCTGGAAACTGCGCCCTCTGCGCCTTCCCCGCCGCCTTAGGCAGATTGCTGACTTAGAAACGCTGGGAGAGAAACAGAGCTGGCTGGTTTGCCCCGCTCTTGGGGCTCAGGACGTTCGCTCGGCCCAAGGGCAGCGGCTGACCCGATGATTAGTGGCTTGGAGGTCGGGCCACTCTTCACGCCATTCCCTTGCCCCGGGCGGGGGCTGGCGGCCTCAGCCACTGACAGATCCCAGGGCTTTGGCGTGTTTATTCAATTGTCAACAGCCCCGGGGTGACCAGCGGGATCGCGGCCCTGGCGTGCGCGTGCTGGTCCCTGGGGCCACGGCAGAGGCCGGGCTCTGGGCTCAGCTAGATGCAGTTGACGGCTCTGATATGAAAGATCTTAGCTCCCCTTTCCACCAGGATGCAATGTCTTAATCTTGTAATAATTATGCGCCTTCTAAGACGAGACGGGTACACTTTGTCCTCGCACTGAAGCCACATAGACTGCCAGGGTCTCTCTTTTCTTCCGTATGCCATCAGTACTAAGGAAGCAGAGACGGTGATTTAAACCACCCCTGAATGAACTGGACATTGAAAGTTCTGGTTTTCGGTTGAGCTTGACCAAAAATCTTTCTATACGTCTTTGAACAGTATCACTATCAAAGCCCTGTGGTTTTACAGCAAACAGAACACTACCTTCTCACCTGATTCGTCTCCAACCCTGAAAGGTGGAACGCTAGCTAGTGTCAATATTTTCTCTGTTGATCACCAATAAGGAAACTGAGGCTCAAAAATATTATAGCACTCATCTGGGGTCATACAGCTGTTGGTTACCAGGTGAAAGTGAGATCTCATTCTCAAGCTGCCAGGCCTTGCCTTGAACCACAGCGCTGGACTAAGGCTTGCTTTTCCTACCTCGGTTGCGCATCAGTTTCCTCGCCGGGCTTGAGTTTAATCGCTGGCTTTGCCTACACGGACAGACGGTTCAAAGTGCGATCCTTCCAAGGCCTGAGTCTTTGCGCCACCGTGGTGGGAAAAAGAAAGAGGGTAGGAAGCTCTTATTTCTCCGTGACCTTCATTTTTCTGGAACCCCGGAGGGCCTCAGATGAAGGAGGTTCAGGGTGGGCAGCAGGTGCGACACCCCCTGGCCAGGCTGTGGTTCTCGCAGTCTGAGTAGCAGCGCATCCGCTGGGGGAACCTCAGGACTCCAGTAAAGAACGTTCTCGAGAGGAGAAAGGTAGAACGCGGGAGGAATGGGTTATCCTGTGACCCCAAAGGTGTGTGGGTCCTAGAGCACTGGCTTACCGGTGCTTGGGCTTCTAGACCAGGGTGGGCGAGTGTATCTCAGGAGCGGCCACTCTTACTGGAGGCCCTCCATCTGCGCTGCGGCTTCCCATTCTCGCTCTGCTGGGAACTTCCTACCACTTTTATGCTGGGAGAAGTCGGGTCGAGAGGGCACCCCGGGGTGGAAATGAAGAATTAACCGTATGTTTCCTAGGTTCCCCCTCAAAAATTCTGGGAAAAAAAAATGACAGAGAAGTTCGAAAAATTTTGGAGCGTCGCTTTCCTCTCACCCATGTTTATAAGCCACCCCTCTCCTCACCGTACCCCCCCACCCCCGACACAAACGAAAATTTTAGACAGGGAGGCAGAGGTGTGTCCTTTCTCATTCCCGAGATACAAAACTCACAAGCGCTCACACCACAGCAGCCTCTCTACACACCGCTTCCATTCATACCCCTCCCCCCAAATCTGCAGGGGACTAAAAAATAAATGAACTCCACTTTCCTTTGGTGATGAAACCCCGGCTCTTCCCGAAGGGCTCCTCTACCCTCCGAGGCGGAGTTCAAGTTAAAGAAAACGACTTCGCAGTAGAAATGAGAACCAGGAGGAGGGGAAGGGGACATGGGCGTGGGCTTTCGGGGTCGGCCTGGCTGGGTGGGTGGGGGAGTCTTGGCCCAAAGGGTCTGTTTCCGCCAAAAAGACCAATAGCTCTGCGCCCTATTACGCGTTTAGGAATAGAGAATGGAAAAGGAGAGGACAGGGTGTAGGCAGACGCTTGTCTTGAGGACCCTGCATTTCTTTAAAATAAAACAAAACAAAAAAAGGGGGGGGGAGGAAGGAAAAGAAGAAGGGAAAAAAAGAAAGCTTCTGGTTCACTACAAATCAGTCAAAATTCCAAAGCAGCGCGCGCGGGGTCCACCACGGTGAAAGTGAAGGGGCAGTCCTTTAACCTTCCTTAGGAATCTTCTTTACCTAGATAGATTGTGCAACCCCGAGAGCGGGTGATTGCTTATGCCAGTACTTTCTGAGCCCACAGAATTCACGGCGAGGCTGGATTCATGAGTCTATGTGAGTTAAAACCAACGTGTAGCAACTGGAGAATGAAGACGCGAAGACCACTGAAACGTTAGGTTTTCTTCGTATTCATGGTCAGCATCCTTGAGTGTTGCTTTAGCAGGTTTAGTGGGAAAGCTTCTAGCCTCATCCCGGTTCTGAAAGCCCAACTACAACGGCGCTTCCCGCCCCGCGCCGGGCAGTCCCTTCGACGACGCGGCCTCCAGGACTCCCCGGGGTCTGCCTGGTACCCAGAAACCTACTTCACTCCGCTACCCGTAGGCTTCTTCTGCTCACAGATGGTCCCCCACCCCATACCCCACTACTTTAGAAGACCTAAACCCATCCACACCACCCCAAACACCGGTTCTAAGGCAAGGGAGTCCCCAACAGCTCCCGGGCGGAGGGAGGAGTTGTTTTGGGGAAGCCATTCTCTGGGAACTCTCCGGGCGGTGCGAACACACCTCTCGCCACCGGCCAATGAAGCCGCTCCCCGACCCATTTCTCGGTGAGTCCTACTGGTTTGCATCCCCCGATCCATCACCGCAGGTCCGTAACGGGTCCCTCATCGCTAGAGGAAGCCTTGCTTGGCAAAGCAGCTTTCTAGGCCACACTCTTCCTGCTGGTTTCGTGGCCACAGCTTCTCCATTCCTATTCTTTCTCAACATGGCGTCAGAGCGTTCCCACCATAATCAAAGCAGGTTTCTGGGCATTTCTGCTAAGAGCACCCCCACAGAAAAACAAAACAAAACAAACAACAAAACAAAACAAACAACATGAACAAAAACCAGCTGCAATTTCCCCCAGTTAATGTAAGGTCTACCAGATACTCCTTGCTGGGCCGGTAAGTGTTGTTTTCACGGATTTTTAGGTGGGCAGCAACCACCTTCTGGGTTCCAACCTCACCACAGAACCCGCTACCAGACAACTGAATCGCCCCCCTCCCCCGCCGCGCTTGTCACAACTGATGTCACACTTCAGAGTTACCATCCCGAACAGTTTCGCCTTGGATCTCAACCTTTGAACCCGTAGGAACCGACCTCCTAAAGGGACCCCGAGGTTAGGCTCTAGGGTTCTGGACGTGAGAAGGCATTAAGACTTGAAGTTAGGCTAGCCTCCTCTGAACCCAGGAGAGTTCTCTCGGGGCTCTCTGGTTCCCGCCCTCTTGGAGCCCACCCGCCCCTCCCTCCACCCCACCCTCTCTGATTAACCACCCCGACTCTACTCCCACCTCGATCCGACGCGCCGAGGGTGTGTGTGTTTTGGGGGGGGGGGCGGGAGGAAGGGGGACACACGACTTACCTAGAGGGCCTTGCCTTAAAGCGCTCGCACTCGGGCAGGGCGGCTGGGGAGGCAAGGGGAGGTTTGCTCCACAGGCCAGCGGAGAGCACGTGGTGGGCCAGAGAGGGGGGTGTCTCTGAGACGAACGCGCCCTCGGGCCCGCCCCACACCCCCGCTGCGAGCCCCCGGGACGAGCGGCGCGCGCTGCGGCCGGGGCAGGCAGGCAGGGGCTGGCTGGTGTGTGAATGGAGCGGCCGAGCATCCTGGCTCCTCCTCCTTCCCCCGCAGCCGGCCCCTCTTATTTGAGCTTTGGGAAGCTGGGGGCAGCCAGGCAGCTGGGGTAAGGAGTTCAAGGCAGCGCCCACACCCGGGGGGCTCTCCGCCGCCACCGGATAGCCAGCCTGCTCCCCCTTCCCCTTTCCCGCCCTCCCTCCCACCCACCCACCCACTCACTCACTCACTCACTCACCCACCCACCCAGAGCGAGGACGGCAGCCCAGGAACCCGGGCCCGCCGCCTCCTCGCCCGCCCGCGATCCTGGACTTCCTCCTGTCGCAGGAGCCGGCTTCCACGTGTGTCCCGGAGCCGGCGTCTCAGCACACGCTCCGCCGTGAGCCCGGGCGTCTTCAGCAGCAGGAGCAGCCGGGGCATCGAGGCCCCCGCAGCACCTGGGCCAAGCCCAGAGGCGACAGTCCGCAGGATCGCAGGAGCGGAGGGCCGTCCGGGTCCGAGCCGCCGCTGATGGGTTCCGACGTGCGGGACCTGAACGCGCTCCTGCCCGCCGTGTCCTCGCTGGGCAGCGGCGGCGGCTGCGGGCTCCCCGTGAGCGGCGCGGCGCAGTGGGCACCGGTGCTGGACTTCGCGCCTCCCGGCGCCTCGGCTTACGGGTCGCTGGGCGGTCCCGCGCCTCCGCCCGCTCCGCCGCCGCCGCCGCCGCCGCCGCCGCCGCCCCACTCCTTCATCAAACAGGAGCCCAGCTGGGGCGGCGCCGAGCCGCACGAGGAGCAATGTCTGAGCGCCTTCACCTTGCACTTCTCCGGCCAGTTCACCGGGACAGCCGGGGCCTGTCGCTACGGACCCTTCGGTCCTCCCCCGCCCAGCCAGGCGTCCTCCGGCCAGGCCAGGATGTTCCCCAATGCGCCCTACCTGCCCAGCTGCCTGGAGAGCCAGCCCACCATCCGCAACCAAGGTACGGAGTCCGGACAGCCCGCCCTCCACGCGCGACAGTGGCTGGGCGTCCTCGCCCCACGCGGCCTCTCCCCTCCCCTGTTTCTTCCTGATCCTAGCTCTTACCTCGCTGCCTTTCAAGGAGTCTGAAAGTAGGGAAGAGTGGACTCTGTGAAGTGCTAACACACACTCACTCACTCACTCACTCACTCACTCACTCACTCACACTCACACTGCTGAGCACGACCCCAGAGTCCGATAGTTCGCAGGACCCGGGAGGACATCTCGGGTCCCAGGGTGCCTGAGAGATTCCGGGACTCCACGGGAAGAGAAAGAGGGGATTGGTTGTAGGGTTGGTTGTAGCATGTGGCTCTGCTCTGGGGAAAGGTCTGATGCCTCACCAGATCACCACCAGACACCGACTCTTTCAGACTCTAGGATAGACGGACTTAGAGGACAGAGGAGTCGGATCAGCGTTTAGGGACCCCCGTGATGCCTCTGACAGGTTCAAACCTGAAGAACCTCTAGCTCTCCATAGGTGCCGGCTCACTTCAGGCCCAGCAAGAAGGGAGCTTTGGAATGGGGGGGGGGGATTAACACTTTGGGGACCGTGTCGGGTTTGCACATAGCTTGTGGGAAGGGTAGTACTGTAGGGATCTCTCCAGGCCACGCAAAGTCTCGGGCCACGCAGGCGGCGGGAATGGGAGACAGCCCGACTGGGCCAACTCCAAACGTTAACCAAATCCTTGGAGGGAGTCTGGGGGGAGGTGGTTTACTTGCTTTCTGCGCTCCTGGGATGCTTCCCAGTCACACACACGGAGGTTAGGTTGGGGAAATGTGCCTCAGGCGTGGGACATTGCCACAAGAACAAGTGTATCGGCGATCTTCCGTCAATGTACAAGGGACCTTGTATGCCATAAGTATGTGTTCTAACTCTGGCAGGCTCCCCCACACCTCTCCTTCGTTAGCGCCCTGGCGGGATCATGGTTGCTACACCACTGTGGTTATCTTCGTTTGTTCTCATTTGATTCCTTTGCTGTTGAGAATCTAATTTGGTTTCATTCGATGTTTGGGGGAAATATTTACTAACACAGTGGCGGATGCTTTTCTTGAACCAAAAATTCTGCTGTCCTTGGTCTGGGTGTTTCTGAAATATGTGGGAAGGGCGGGTACTGTTTGCAGGAGGTGTGGAAGGGTTCTCAGGGCCTTCTGAACCCATCCTGCAGCACCGCGACCACCCGAAGCTCTAGCGAAACCGAAACCGCTGAAGAATGGGCGCTCCTGGTCTCAAGGAGCAACCTGGAGCGGACTCAGAGGGCCCCTCCGTTCCGGGTCTTCCTTAAACGAAACTAGCGTTTTGATCAAGAGATGTTGGAAGCCTTTGCATCCCTTTCTAGTAGGCAGGTGTTGCCGTTGGCAAACCTCCAGGTCAGTTCCCTGATCCCCTAAGAGAAGACCTGAGATGGCTTAAGGCCGAAAAGTTACAGGTCAAACGCGAGGAAGCCCCACCAGGCTCTAAACGCAGAACACACAGCCCACCTAAACCTCCCTGCGTCAGAAACCAGGCCACTGGCAGGCAGGCATGTGTGTGACTTGGGTGAGCATGCCTCTTATTTGGAGAGGCTCACTGACCTATAACCCTCCGGGGGAGCAAATACTAACATGCCACCATCTTTTTGAGTCCTTCTAGGCTCATGGAGGCTTTGCAGCTTTGTGTGTGTGTGTGTGTGTGTGTGTGTGTGTGTGTGTGTGTGTGTGTGTGTGTGTGTGATGTGTAGCATTCTGCACTGCAAGTCCAGTAGAAGCCCATAGGAGAAGGTGGGTGGGACTGAGAATTTCAAGCCCGTGGGCATTGCCATTACGTGGGTGGTGGTGGTCCAGATTCTTCTGGAGCAGACAGGCCGGGCTGCTACTGGAGAAAGAGCTTGGGAGCTGAGGACCAGGACCAGCAGGTGAAGCCTCCCCACCACCCTCTCTGCTTTTCTCACACCCCACAGGAAAAGGCCGGTGGGGAGATGTCTTCAGGGCAGAGTCATACCCTGGAAGCAGGTTCCTGTCAGGGAACTTACCTTTCTCTCTCCTAGTTAAAACAAGTGAGACTGTACAGGGGCAGTCTGTGGGCTCCCTTGGCCTCGGGGAGCTGAAGTGAGGCATTATGGGGCTGCCATTCCTCCCTCCCCTCCGGCCCCAACTCCAGGTGACAACTAGGGCAGACCCTGGAGGTCCGAGATTCCCTGAGTAGTCATTCTTCTTACTATGGGAGTTCCTACGGATCGTTTCCATAATGTAGGGTTTAGTTTGGGGTTTTGATTAGAAGGTGCCAGCTGTCGCGGGAAAATGTGAGAATGGCCATCGACACGCTTTGCTCAGACTCCACTGCAGAGAAGAGTCCAGAGTTACCTGTATGCAAATCATGGAGCCTAACTATGGCGCTCATTCATCCTTTCTTCTGTTTCTTAACGACACCCCCCCCATTTCTTATATAGCTGTCGCCCCCAATCCTCTAAACATTAATTTAGCAAACACTAAAACCTTACCGGGTCGGGTGAGGGTGTAGATGGACTATAGACAGCTCATGGCTATGGGAACCTTTACAAGAGGCACATAGCCTCTTAATAGTGGACGCTGAACTCCGGGCACTAGGAAGTTAGACTTCCAGAGACCTCTTAGATCTTGGCAGAGCTAGGATTTGAACCCACGGTTTTCTCCGTGGTTGAAATGGATGTTCTCTATCCCGTCGAATAGGCCCTGACAACTTATGAGTGTGAGATGGTTGGAAAGTCTGCCAAGACCCAGAAGTGAGGGTGAGGGTTTTCCTAGTCTGGACCAATGTGGGCTTGCGGTCAGCTTCTGACACCCCGCCCCCCCCTCCCCCCAGCCCTGCTAGTGCTCACACCAGCGTGAGCCTAGGCCCTGGAGATCACTGCCCTTCCGAAGCTGGTCACGCGGGGAGACCAGCTGTGATGGGGCCTAAGGCGCCCCCCTCCGGTCACATCAAAGACGGGTTGTTGGGTAGGAGCGAGGACTCCACCTATCCCACGGCGGCTGGGTTGTCTGCAACACCTTCCAGGCTTAGCCCGCTGTGGGATCTCCCCCTCAGCTCCTCAGGGCCAAGCCGGGGCAGTCTGTTCCGGGCTCCTCCGCAGTGGAGGCAGGGGAGGAGAGCTCAGAGCGATACTCTCCTTCCCGCAATGTCAAGGTTGCTCTCCCCTCCCTGGTCCAGACCAACCGTGGGAAAGTGGCTACCTTGGCTTCGAGGGCCTCTCCCTTCACGGCCTGGACAAGAAGCCTTTGAATACGCCCCGATACTTCGCAGAGTCAGCAGTCTCTCCCCCGGCCCCCACTCCCGCCCTCTGCGAACTGGGCTCAGCTCAGCGCGGGTACAGCGGGTTCCTAATCAGCCCCGGTCCCGATAAGCTTCTAATTAAAAGAGCTCGCCCTCCGATCCCTTTCACCGTTGCCCCTCCCAGGAGCCCCGAGGGAGGGGCCCAAGGTTGCTGCTGCCCGCCGCCGCCGCCGTGGTCTGCGGGTCTCATCTACAACTAGGCGGGTAGGGAGCTTTGCTGGACGCCCGCATCCTCACGTCGGAGTGCCGGAGCGCGGAGCGGACGTCCCCAGCGTGGGAGCAGCAGCCTGGCACCAGCAGCTCTCGCTACCAGCGGTTGAGCAGCTGGTCTCAGACTGTGCGTGCCTTAGGTCATTGGCAGCTCGGCTCAGAAATGGAGAAGGGTTCGTTTGGAGAAACTTTATTGCTTCTACCGCCCTGCCCTCCCCCCGTTTTTTTTTTTTTTGTTTGTTTTGTTTAAATGCTCTTTCACAAACTACTAAATTCTGCTGGGAAAATTCGGGTGGGTGCCTAGACCCATATTTCGTTTGTAAGCTGTAGGCCTCAAGTAGGGCGAGGCCTTTTCTCTCAAAAGGAAGTCTCGGAGAAAGCCAAACGTACTCATTGATCCACGCCCAAGAGCTGTTAGGGTTGGGGATTATCTTTCTCCTCCACTT